TTTGACCGTCTGAGCATCCAGCCCGGCATGAGCGCCACCTTCCACGCTGACATCACCCGCCGTGACATCAGCAACTGGGACGTCGCTGCCCAGAACTGGGTCATCTCCGAGTACCCCAAGACGGTGTACGTCGGTGCTAGCTCGCGTAAGTTGTTGCTTACTGCCGAGATGGACACCAGCGACTACACTTCTTAGACAAGTCGTTGAGATCTGTATTGTTTGGATAGACACCATCAACAGTAATGTTCAATCCTTAATTGTCAGCTAGTCATAGCTAGTTTTATGAAGAAACGAATCTTTGTAACTATTCCCTGATTGCATGTGTACGTGTCTTGCCTGTCAAACTTGATGAAACCGCTACATGTGCTTGATCGATCGAGACTAACGCCTATCGTGCCCTATCGCAATGGATTGAGGGGTAGTGCGTATCGCGGGCCGGCTGCGCTTCGGCGTGGAGCCTCGATGACGGGCGATAGTCAAAGAATGCGTTTACGAGGCGCCTAATGTAGCTAGAGCGATTAAAATTAGACGCGTCACGGGACGAACGCTGGAAAGCTGCGATCGTTATGCAGGATGTCGACGTGGTATTCTACGACGTTCTTCGTTCATCGTGTAGCAGTACACACAGCAAGCGAGCGTGAGTAAGCGTCGGAAGCGGCAACGATTGGCGTCGTGTTGGTGGGCCGTTGGCGCAGCCAGCAGCGATCCTGTTGGCGGCATGCGAACGGTTTTCAAGCCCGATTGCATAGCGTCATTGTTTGCTTGGCTGGGCCCGACGCGCACAGTCGGCACCTGAGCGTTTGGGGCCTCTGGGTGCGCTGGAGAAGCAATGCTCAGGGTGCAATGACAGGAGACGAGCATCATATTGCAGGCGTCCCATTTGACAGCGGCGCAGCGTGCATGTTTGAGAGTCTGGGTCTGGGTCGCTCACGGCTGGGGGCGCGCAGCCAGCTACCGCGTTATTTTGATCACGAGTGCGCACGGATAGCATCTTGGACCAGGACACCAAGGCGACGTAATTTGTCCCCTTCCGTGCTCCTGCGGCTCTGCTCCATTATCTCTCTATCGATAGCCACCGACTATCCCACGCGTCGCGCATTGTCACCGTTGTCTCGCTGCGTCCTGAGGTCATCGCCACGCCTGCGCTAGCCACCAAGTCGCGTCGTGCTGGAATAACAAACACGCCCATACGTCGACCCTTCCGCCCACGACCGCGCGCTCTTCCACCCTTCTCGTCACCACCGCCCTGCGACGCCTGCCCCCGGCCCGCCGCCGCTCCCTGGACGACGCCTTCCAGTCGCGCGCAGTGCATTGGGAATCCAACACCGACGTTTCGCGGTAAGCAGCTCCCGTTCCGAGTGTGTCGAGTCGCTTGGTGGGGCGCCTGGCTGGCTGGTCTTCGCACGTCCGTGGCTGGCTCGTCCCTCTCCCATGGTCCGCCGTCACCACCCAAAACAAATAACACACGAATGCACACACTCGCACAACTCTCGCTGATACATTCTTCTCCTCCACAGATTCGCTCGCTAGCCCCCCGCATGCACCATGTCGACTCGTAGAAGTCTTCGTTCGCGCAGAGACGCCCAGCAGCAGTCTGAACCCGACACGCCAGATGCCACGCCCTCGCGCAAGCGCAGGCGGGTGAGCAGCCCCAACACCACCAGTGTTGCGGCGAACTTGTACTCACTCGCACAGTTGAATGGCGCCGCCCAAGAGCCCGCTGCTACGGCCGCACCCGACCCGCCCCGTACCCGCATCACAGAGTCGGTCGCCAGCAACGACTCCAACACGACACTGCCCAACGGCGGAGACGCAGAAAACCCCATGGACCCCATAGAGCGCCAGAACATCGTCATCGCCGCCCTCCGCGTGCCCGGCTATGTCCCCCACGCCGCCATCGACTATGCCAACGACCTGCAGTCGCAGCGCAATAAGGGCAAGAACATCCCGGCCTTTGCCAAGATTGCTGCCCGCGACTGGTGCTTCTTCGTTCAGGACACGCAAGTTAGAATCGGCCGTGTAGACTCGAACACACGCTCCAACCAGCAGAGCTCTCATCCCGACATCTCTGGGCTGCCTCCAAGTGAAGCCAACCGCCAGGACTGGGGCGTGCACATCGACCTCGGGCCTGAGCGCCAGATATCCCGCGTCCACGCCGAGATCAACTTTGAGGTTGACGACCAGCAGTGGTACATCACTGTAAACAGCCGCAACGGTCTCAAGCTAGACGACCGCCATCTCACCAGAGGAGACAAGGCACCCTTACACTCGGGTATCTGTATCAGCATCATGAGCACTCAGATGTTGTTCCTTCTCGCCAACCAAGAGGACCACTTCCACCCCATGTTGTGGCGTCAGGTTAAGAACGAGGACGCCGCCGAGTCTGACAACGACGGCAACCCGCCGCCAAAACCCCATCAGCACGCGCATCTCAGCGGACCGACACCCAAGCGCGACCAGTATGATCCGTTCCCACCGTCTTCGCACCCTCGCAACAAACACCAATCGTCACAAGCATACTACAACCAGATGACATCCACGCCTGGATACCCACAACCCGGAACCCCCATGACCTTCCGCGGCGAAAAGGACCCGCGCAGCAAAGGCTCGCCTGCTACCTTCTCTCGAGCAGTTCTACTAGAAAATGGCGACGATATTGACTACAGCTTAGACTCAACCAAAGAAATCAAGCCGCCTCACAGCTACGCTCAGCTCATCGGTCAAGCGATCCTCAGTAGCGAGGAGGAGATGCTCACGCTTGCCAACATCTACGACTACATCAAGTCCCGGTATGCCTTCTTCCGCCACACAAGCAGCGGCTGGCAGAACAGCATTCGACACAATCTGTCCCTCAACAAGTCGTTTGAAAAAGTTGCACGCCGCACCGATGAGCCTGGCAAGGGTATGAAATGGAAGATTGCAGAGTCAGAGAAGGAAGAGTTCATCAAGAAGCAACTGCTTAACCCTCGCAAGGGCGGTGTGGCAATCGGATACCGCATAGACGGCTCAGGGCCTAGTTCGCCCGCGCTGGGCAATCCATCTCAAGCCACCGAGCGCCTTGTAGGTGCCTTGGAGCGCGACAACCGCCAAAACCAATACCCTCCTCGCGTCAAGTCGCCTCCACGATCCGCTACGCCCCCGCTTTCGACGGTCCCGATGGCCACCGAATCCTACACTCCAGACCGCGGCCCACGCCCATTTGGAGGTTTCAAGCAATCGCCGACTATACGCGACCAGGATCGGTTCGTGACTCCGGCGAAGCGCCTTGTTTATGGAGCCAATGACGGCCAGGAACCTACTCACATCAAGCAGGACGAATCCCGACTGGAATCATCACCCGGTGTGGACCCCGTTAAGCAGAGTGTCCCTGGTATGAAGACAGACGTCGGTAACTCACCACCGACCCTGTACTCGGACACCGGGTCGAACAACATGAACGGCAACTACGATGCGAACCGAATGAACAATGCCCTCGTCACCCCACTTGTTTCCCGCCACGCGCCCCGTCTCGCACCCCCAAGCACAGCCCAAATGCCCAGCCAGTACATGGCATTCTCCAGTCCAGCACCTTTCTGGAAGTTCGTCGACCTCCCCAGCACACCTGCCAAAGCCCCACTTGAGCTCAGCCCTATCAAACTACAACGTCCAGACTTCAAAGATGGCGATGACGACGACCACCCCAGTTCACCCCCCATGTTGCCGTACAATAGCGCAGAGCCCGAAGACAATGAAGATCAAGACCAAGATGCCGAGGAGAAAGGCGAAGAAGAGGAAGATGCCGGCCCAGAGAGTCCAAGCCGTACCGTCTCCAGACCCGCCAGTCGGCATATTGGAAGCCAACGTTCCCGGTCAAATAGCAATGTCAACGGGCTTGGATTGGGTATCATTGGCAACGGAGGGATGGTTCGTGGTGCCAGCCTGACGAGCTTCGAGGAGGAGCCTGAGCCCGAGGAGGAAAGCTATGATCTTTCAAAGTATGTTTCGAATGCGTCCTTGTCTCGGTTAAAAGTATCATGCTAACATGTCACCAGGGGTTTCCAGAAAATCGGCTCCTTCCACCGCAGCATGGCTCAAGCCCACGGTCTCGGCAGCATCGGCAGCCGCGCTACCGCTACACCACCACCGCATCCTCCCCATCTCGCGCGCACCAGTGTCCCTGCAAACATGTAGACTGAGTTGCAGGAAGACATAGAACAACAGACGTTAGCGATATATCTTCTCCTTTCACGCTTCGGTACAGATCGTATACTACCCGACGACGGTGTGGAAGGTCCAAAATCTTCAAAATGAGCGAAAGTTGGATTATGACGGTTACGACACTTTCTTGTTGTGTGTTTGATTAGGTTGCATCTCGGTTTCTCGGTCCGCAAAACTCTGCGTATGCATGGAGTTGAGGGTGGTATTTCTTTTCCGCTGTTGTCCTATTATGTCGCATCATTACATCGATCGAACTACTCCGCTTATGGCGTTCTATGGAGCATTATGGCATATCGGGCGAAAAAGGGTGCGTTATGATCATGATGGTGTGTTTGGTATTCTGTTTTTTCAGTCTGCATCGTTTATAAGGGGGAAGAGTAGGATAGGGTGTGTCTGTGCGTATGCATGGTATAGTGGCTAGTGGGTAGTTCGGAGGGTGATGCATTGATGTAGTCTCAGTCAGAGAATGGAAATCACATATTTTGAAAACGTTTCCGTGCTTGGTCAATCGCCATGTTCATCGGTGTGAAGAACGAGGATAGGATCAGTTTACCATGCATGGCCTGTAGCTGTTCTAGCTTCGATGCCAGACTCCATTTGGTACGAGTCAGATATCAGCTGTTCGATTGCACATGCAGCACCTCACGTGTATAGCTTGATGCCTCATCACTTTCAATTCCCTTTCATTGTTCCCTCCCTGCTGGCCGTGCAGGTAACATAAGCTACCTAGGTACCGATATACACAAGTCCATATCCCTCCCTTCTCATCACCAGCCCCCAGACATGATATAGTCCAGTCCAATCTAGTTAATCTCCTTATGCGGGAACCACTTGCTCGGCTTGAGATTCTTCTCCTCAAGCGGCGCATCCAACACGCCCAATCGCCTTATCTCGCCTGCGGACGGTGCGTCGTCGCGTTTTATGTTGGCTTCGGCTTTGCGGTACGCGGCTTGGAGGGCGAGGGTACGTGCGGCCTGGTATTACATTGTCAGCGTTGGTGTTCTGGTGTGAGGTGTTTGAGGTGACGAAGGAGCAGAAGAGTTTAGGAGGGTGGGTGATGGGAAGTAGATGGGAGGTGACGCACCTCCTTCTTGTGGTGAAGGCACTCGTAGTAGTCCTCAAGAACGGGTGCGCATTTTGCCTTGCCAGAGTCGTCCTCGGCGTTTGTGTTGGTCGTGTAGCATGCGAGGACTTCTTGCCAGAAGGGGAAGCAGCGGGATGGGCCTGGTTGTTTGTGTTAGCTGGTGTTTTGTGATTGGCTATCTATAGACGCTTCTTATTGCTTCGTATGTGATAGGGTCGCGGTCGGAGAGCTTTAGAGGATTGTAGCGCAGGCGAACGGGCCGGTCGAGGTGGAGAATTGGAGCGAGCGAAGAGCTGGCACGGGCGGGTCAGAGATGCGATAACCCTTTCGAGGTCTGGGGATTAATCCTGGAGGCCTCGGTTGGTCCCTCGAGCTACTGATCGTGCGGTTCCCCGTGTTCGTGTGCTCGCAAGTCAAGCCCAAGATCCAGAGTTGTCTTCAAGCCTGTAGCTGGCCGCTGCGCTAGCAGTGATGTGCGGTCCACCCTATTCCCATTTCCTCCATGTAGTTCCATCCTTCGGTACGTTCGGTGTCGGTACTCGCATCGTGTAGCCGTCGTGATCGCTCTTCGCATTCGTTCCGGGTTCGCTCTTCGTGGTGCCATTGCGCTCGCTCCGCTGCCTCCACCGAACCCCAAAGTTCCCAATATTATCCCCCAGGAAGTAAATTGTACTTACCACCAGCAAGTCCGTATCCTGAAGCCATTGTCGCGGTGTTTAAGTGGGGGTCTTGAGTCGCGATGTGCTGCTGCTGTGAACTCGGCCAGCTTGTGTTACGTCAGCAGCGCACGGTCCTTCTGTCGCGGAGCCGATGGCGCTGGGCCTGCGTTGTTCACACCCAACACCTCTACATCGTCTTAGCAAGCCATGTCTGCGTCTCTTCTTTCTGCGGTTCAGAATCAACGCGTGGGCTGCGCGGAGATAAAATCTCCCCCAGAACACGGAATCGCAATACTCTTGATAATTCACGGATTCATCACATAATCCATATGCTGTCAGCATGCATGCCTTACTTTGTAGACCGGTGAAGGAAACCTCGCCACAGCCACATAACTTGGCTGCATGCATCATGTCTACTTCTTCAGCTGATTTCGTCAGGCTGCGACTTTGCATCAACATTCCTCAAACTCACGACAGACCAGTGCTCTTGCCGCATACCGTTCCTAGCACCACAGTAACAAAGGGTGTCTGTAATAATCCTCTCAGACATTGAGGAGCCACTTTCGCTCGCAAACGTCATCGCCAATACAACGTTAGAAGCGTGCGCAGACATGTCTGACAGCGAAAACATTTGTGTCTGTTGTAGGCAGCCGATAGTGGACGAAACGATCGAAGGCGATATGACACTGGAATGGGGCTATACTGAGGTCAATCTCATGAAGCTGTCGGTGGGAGAAGACTCTGGGTGTCGGAACTGCGCTGTCATTCTTGATGCTATCGTCACTTTTGTTGGGGGCGAAGACCGCCTTTTCACGCAATCGGGAATACGGGTACACTCTTCTCCGACAAGTCAAGAACTTATCATCAACACCGACGAAAGGATTGAGGTCATACGTTACAGTGGTAGGTCTGGATAGTCTATAATCTCGCTCAAACTAATAATACGTAAGACTTTCCACGTGAACGGGAACCTTCCTGGCCTGACGTCTGGGACGTCAAGGAATGCCGTCCGCTTTCGGAAAATACTTCTTCGCAAGAGACAATCTGTGTGATTCAAGAGTGGAAGAATGATTGCATGCAACACCATAACCATTGTATGCAACGAAAAGCCGTCCCATTGCCAAAGAGAATCCTGGAGATCACAACTGAATATGTTTTCCTTCGCGAGATGCTTGGCAGTCTAGCTCCGTATGCCTGTCTCAGTCACTGTTGGGGCTTGAATGGCCCGGCCATCAAGTTGACTGCTGAAACTGTCGGACGTCTACGTGATGGTGTCAAGACATCTGATCTACCCAAGACGTTTCGAGATGCAGTGGAGGTGTGCCGTTACTTGGGAATCTACTACATCTGGATTGATGCGCTGTGTGAGACATTCTGAGAACAACATTCAATTAGAGATACGGCACTGAACATCTGAAGGTATCCTCCAAGACAGCGAAGCAGATTGGAAAGAAGCCGCTGCCACGATGGGCGGCATATACGAGGGCTCGCACCTAACCATTGCAGCTACAGCTAGCCAAGATAGTAACGGCGGCCTCTTCTCTTCGGATCGCCCAGTCGCGAGACGTCTTGAAAAGCATCCGCACCTGTACGTCCGGGCTTCACCAGGGGTGTTCCCAACAGACGTCAGCGCTACTGTACCGGCATCAATGCCACTTCTAACACGCGCCTGGGTGTATCAAGAAAGAAGGCTCTCACAACGCACGGTACACTTTGGCAAACATCAGGTGTACTGGGAGTGCCAAACCGGGTTTGCTTCCGAGGATTCCATGGAAGACAAAATCTGGAATACAGATGTGACTGAATCAGGAGATCTGGGATATCTTGACTGGGGCGATCAATGCGTGGACCATAAAACCTACTGGCAAAAGACAGTGATGGAGTACACCAAACTCCAAATGACCTACGAGAGTGACCGTCTTCCATCTATTGCAGCTGTGGTTGATCGAATATCACGGCTACAAAGAGTTGACGACGTTTACATTGCGGGATTATGGAAGAATAGCATACTCTCGGATTTACTGTGGAGCGTATATGGAAATGAAGCGCGCCCTGCCCGGATGGCTCCTTCATGGTCTTGGGTATCAGCGCAAAACTCGACGATTTTCTGGCATGATCATGAATTTACTAGAGAGGTCAAGATTGCCGGTCTAGAGTATACTGTCGTTGGTGCTACTAACCTCGGAGAGGTCAACAATGCTAGCATCGTCTTAATGGTGCCTGTGCTAGACTTAACAGGCTTTGATGGGCTTTATCCCGCCGAAGATGATCGATATAGGTGGGGCACGCGTTTTCAGGACATCTCAAAGTCAGGCCCAATTATGGAACAGTTCCGACTGAACAATCTGAAAATCTCTCACTCTTGGTTCTCTCCCGACTATGACCTGACCACCGCCAATCCTCCATTTAAATGTGGATGCGTCATAAAACTCTTGGTCGCCGCGAAAAGTTCCGATAGCGCCATCGGCGGTATTGTGGTTCAGCAAACGTCCGAGAACGCCCCAGAGTACAGGAGGATAGGTTTTCTTCATGTCTGGCTGAAACAGACGAAACTTGAAATGGCTGGGAAGGAAGATGGAGAGATAAAAGAAGCCATAAACCGTCTAATACTGTCACTGCCCATGGAAGAGGTGAAGATCGTTTGAGATCGTATCATCTGGTCGGCCACAAGCTCAGATTGCCCCTCGATGCTTTTAATCAGGCATACACGGTTACCGTATCCATTCAGACCGAAAAGAAGTTTGCATATCCCCAACTTAGCGCATTTCCTAGTACCACCTCATACAAGGCAAAAGCTGAACAGGTCTGCAGACTACATTAACCTAAAACCTTGCAAAGAAGGTGACACAAAGTCAACGTAGGCTCTAGGCTGTTCAGCTTTTCCCTAGGTTGGCGTGGTACTACAGCTTGGAGGTTTCGTGAGTGAAGCTACACAATGTTACAGGAAATGACACGAGCGAAGAAGTGATAAAACCGTGTAATAGCAACGAGCTCATTTGATGCTAGCTACCATATCTGATCGCTCCATGGATGTACCCATGCAGACAAAGATGTACGACTACTGCACATACTGGCCTCTACAGGCCCAGCTACAGAAACACACGCACCACGACGCCGCAGGTATTATCATCGCACCTAGACAGGCACGTTAATCCCACGAACACGACGCAGGTAGCCCGCCTCCTCCACAGTCCACTTCTTCGGCCCCGGCGCCGCCTGCTTCGCCTGGACACGAGCAGCCAGCTCCGCCTCCGTCTTCCTCGCCGCCTCCCACTTCGCCTTGTCCTTCTCCGCCTTCTCCTTCTGGGTCAGCTTCCGCTGCTGCGACCACATCTGTTCGGCATCGTTCTTCTGTTTCGCGTTCGCCTCCCGCTTGGCCGTGCGCTCAACGTAGTCATGATGCTTCTGCATCTTCTCCTTGGCTTCGGTGACAGCTAGACCAAACCGCTCGTTGTGCACGAGATAGGCCGCATAATCCTCCGGGTCGGGAATTTTGCCTTCAAGCTCGGCCTGAGCGAGCTTGTTGACTACTTTGCGGAAGAGGTTCTCGCCAATGGGGGTCTGGATGATGGAGAAAGCATCGATGTCCGAATATTCTGGCAGACGCTCCGCGCGGATGAGGGCCCAGTAGCGGTTGAAAATGCGCTGGGTGTACGCCATCATGCCGAGGTAGTCCGCGGCGCTGCATAGCTGGAGGTCTTCGTAGGCGCCCGGGGCTTTGTACGGGTGAATCTCCTTTGCAAACTTCTTCCAGGTGGTGATCTCGTTGAAGTGCGTGATCAGATCTTGGACCATCTGAACTTCAAGTCCTACGGGCAGCTTGATCACTGGATCAGGGCCAGCTACCATCTCCTTCTTGATAGAGATCGCGCGGAAGAGAGCGACGGGCATCTCGGCTACTGGTGCGTTTTCGCTGTCGACGAATTGCACCTTTGGCCCCGTCGCCAGTATCTTGCGGTCGGCGTGGGAGAGCTCGTAGATCTTGGCCACGTCGCCCATCTTGTTCTCGGACTCTTTCATGGCTTTCTTGGAGCCCGGGGCGGTCACGAAGGCTGAGGCGAGGAGGTTGGCCTTCGCATTAGGGGACGGAGCGGCGGCTTTTGTGTCCTTCTTAGCCGCTTGCTCCATCTGCTTGGCGAAGGGAGTCGGCGCCATCTCTGCTTTGTCGTTTGCGAGGAGATGGGAGTAGTTGGTAGGATGAGGACGGCTTGTTTCTTGTCTAGCAAAGCTTGGAGTTTGCTAGTGGTGATACTGAGCTGGGTTCGACGCGTATGCTGTTGGGTGGGTTGAGAGTTGACTCCGGTGCTGTGATGGAGAACAGCTAGGAGGAAAAAGGGGGGTATTTTATATGGAGAAGGGGAGACTGAAGCCATAGTGAATCCACGAGAGGCCATGGCGTTAGGCTGGCGAGGAGCTGAGGTTGTAGGCTTACTTCGTTCAGTGTGAACGAGTGAATATACCGTGCGTGTGGCGATACACTGCTCAGTCCGGACGTGGAAGGCGGACAACGCCATCTTTAATCGCCTGTTGTTCTTTCACCAAGGAAACGAGAAAAATATTCTCGCGGCGTAGGAAGTGAATGCTGTGGCGCTGGCGATGCTTATAGTGAATGAGTACCTAGGTAGATTTCGCGTATATATGAGAAGCTGAGAGATGAGCTTTAGTCAAAGGCTGAGACGTGGTCTTAAGGCGAAGATTAGCTTGACTTGCGATCACGCGATATAATATTCTGTTGCACAGCAAGCATGTTTTCTGCTACTGACGGTCTTTGTGATCAAAGGTTCCGGATGTTTTGTCAGGGTTGGCATGATGGCGCGTTTGTCGACTGTTCACTGTGCCAGATCTTTCATCGATTGCGTACTTTGCGACATCCTCACCATAGCCTTCACTGCCTCCGGTTTCCAATTTTATGAGCGTGGTAGTCCTGTGGCATCCGCGGTGTTGAGATGATGAATGGTTGATGGGACGGGATGCTGAGCTTGCTTGCGATTTGCGTGGGGCTGAAGGTTGGCGAGGCCGGCAGAACATCAATCAGGCTGCGCGCGCTGTTGCGGCGGCGTCGCCTGGTGGCCTCGCCAAACTGTGCCGCAAAAAGTGGTCACTTACCAACACCAAGGGCTCGGGTGATGCGATGTTCCATGCCGCATCGAAAGTGGGTATCGTGTTCTTGATCTGCGAGGATGATCGACGCGAATGCGAAAGTCCCAGTTTGGCGGTGCGTGGCTGTCAGGCTGTAGGGGCGTCGCACTCCATGTTAATCATCAAGTCTCACTGGCGACGATGCACAATTCTTTGAAGAGTTGATTTCTTTGGATTCAAGTTTCGTTTTTTATTAAGTTTAGAAGGCTAAAGAAGCTTGCTTCTGTTCCAGCATCCGATTCAACTGCTCCCAGGTCAACCAGGAGAGTGCTTCTTCCAAGAACTTGCTTGAAGTGTAGGAGATGAACCTACAGTCTCCGTGCATCCAGTATCCCAAGTCGAAAGAAAGGTCAGCGATAGCGCAAAGGTGCGTCAGGAAGTGTTTGCTCCGCAAGCAGAGGACCACCTCCCAAGAGGCAGAGACGCCACGGGCGTGCTCATGTCTCGACCCCGCGCAGTCGCTTTCCCTAGTTTTTCCGACCCAGTCCTCCTTTGCAACAGAGACGAGCTATCACAGCGGCATCGCAGATGCATGTATAACTTTTGTCGCCACCTCTCGGCAGATCCAGCTGACACTCAATGCCAGGCCAAGTAAGCGTAATTCGTGAACGTGAATCGCGTCAGATCGTAAAGAGTCATGGCATGCCACAGGCTCAACGAAGAGATAGCGCATCCGTCCAGGAATTGTAAAACGACATTAACAAACAGGAAAAAAGCACAACAAAAATCCCAAAACCGAGTGTGCCTGACCTCGTGAGCCGTGAGGCTGTTGTTTAACCGTCTTCCGTTTGAAATGCCCGACATGCATGCCTCCCAGAGATGCTGTATTCAAGTAAATGAAAAGACCTGGTCCGGCCGTTGTGGTAGACAAAAAAAAGGAAATCGCTCGCTAAAAACAAAACAGATAACGTGAGAGCAGGTATCAAAAAGAAAATGTACGGAGAAGGAGAGAGGAAATGACGCTCGCTAAAAGGAATCAATGATAAAACGCCGTCCCATGCCGGTTGGGTAGTGATGTTTGCACATCATGTCGTGAATATCGCATTCGTCTCGTGTCGGGCGTCGCAAGGTTGGTGCGCTGGGCAACCTGCGCGGTAAAGGGAAGAGCAAGGGGGACTGGCCAGGTCCACGCTTCCCAGTATCGACAGAGAACAGGTGCATACACCACAGTCGAGTTTGTCATTCAGCTTATGTGAATGCTGCGTACTGTGGTGCGAATCCTGTGTCCCATCCGAAACCGCCGAAACCTCCGTGAACGGCGCTTGACCCGCACTGCTGGGCTAGCACGCTCGGCAGAGGAAGGGCTGGTATCGGTGCCGACGCTGGGGGCGGGCTGTAGTACGAACTTGACGTGTATGGGCTAGTGCTTGGCGCATACGGGCTGGTGCATGGTGCATATGGACTCGTCGAGTTGTATGGCTGGCTGTAGGAGGGTGTCGGTGACGGGAGCTGGATCGCTTCGAAGCCCATGTTTCCCATGGTGCTCCAGAATGTTGGTCCAGTTTCACCGCAGGTAGCGATGGTCGGGCTGGGCGTCGATGGGACCACTCTCCAAGTGTCGACCGGGGCTGAGTGCGACTGGTACTGCTGCGTTGGCACCCACCAGTTGGCTGAGCCGGGCGAGCTTGGTAGAAGCGGTGCTGGGCGGACAACGTCGACGATCCTGGGAGGAGGAGGAAGGAGCGGGAGGAACAGGCCCATGATGGCGCTCTTGACGTCCTCACCTCGTCCCTCGAGTAGCTCTCCCGCACCATCCTCCTCGAGTCCTTCCAGAGCCTTGACACCAGTTCGGAAGACGTAGCGGTTGACAGCCTGGACAAATCCATCCTGGAGCTTCTTCAGCTGTTGCTCCTTCTCGGCCCATTCCCAGGTGCTGGCGGATACATCGACGGAGTAGATGTCCTTGTGGTACTCGATAAGCGCTTCGATGGTTTCCGGTGTAAGCTTGAATGCGACCTCATGTTGTGAAACCATGTCAACGTGTACGACGTAGGCCTCGATGTGGATGAGCTGGTAGTTGAAGAGCGCTTCCACCAGCGGGTTGTTGTCCTTGCGCAGTTCCGAGTCCGGGGCCTTTGGTACCATGATTGAGCACAGCGACCACATAGCGTTGGGTCCGGAAAGAGTTTCTGTCAGACACCTCGTGTGTTGCTGGACGCTGTTCAACGGACGCTTGACGCGGTTGACCCTCTTGAGAGTTTGTGTTAACCATGGCTCGACCTTGGAGGCTAGTACGACGTTGACGTTTGATCGGGGCGCAAAGGCCGCAGCCGAGGCGGGTAGTAACGAGATCGGCATGTTGTGTGTGTGGTATGTGCGAGACGTTTGCGATATTAGGATGGGACGATTTATCAAAGATTCAAAGAAAAGAACAAAAGAGAGGTTGTAAGAAAATGTCTCTGGCGGGTATAATTTTTCGAGAGGCGCCTTGGATTGAGGAGGAGAGACAGGGAGGGGCGGGCGAATGAGGATGGGGGAAGGCGAGGTGGGAGGAGGGTGAAGAAGGCTAGTGGTGGTGGTGGGTGGGATCTCTTAAGAGCTTACAAGCGACGATCATGGGTCGGCGTGGCCACACTTGTCGGCAAGGATTTCATGCACACTGCCCCGTTTAGCTGCACTGCGCATCTAGCTTGTTTAAACGTGCATACGGCCAGAGTCCGCAGCTGCAGGTCTAGTCGGATCTAAGCTGACCGACGGACACGGCGAGCGCGTTGCGCACGCGTGGATAGGCGGATGCGTGTGGTGCGCGAAGATTGCGATGCTCTCATGGCTGCGAGTGTTGTGCGAACGACTACTCGGCCATGCACGCGCGGAGATGACTGCGAAAGAGGCGTCTGATCAGCCTCCGCAGTGGAAATAGCAAATGTAATCGACGACTATGACCGAATAGTGCTGTGCACCAGGGCAGCTGAAGACGGCCTCACGGTTGCAGATGCATGCGAAGCCGCAGAAACCTGATCGGGAGGCCGCAGCAGCCACCAAACCTGCACATGGATACACGCCGTAGGCGAGCGTCGCAGCATGCTCGAGCCTGCAACTGCGCTTATAGTTGGGCGTCGAGCATCTGGTGTTGCGACATGACACGGATTCCAGAAGCCTTCTTTGGGCGTCCGGAAGCAGAGAGCACGGCAGCGGCTTTGCTACCCTTTTGGGGAGTGTGCGGTTAAAGGGAGGACGAGCCCTCTACGCTTGTCAAGGGGTTTCGCAGAGCAGGACTTTCACGGTGGGTGTAGTCGTGGTAGTCTTGGGCCATCTACAGGTTGACGTTGCTTGAGCCTAAAAATGGGCTCGAAACAGTCAGCCCAATCAGCGGGCCCAGCAGGGATGTGAGCAGGGTTCTCTACCGAAAAACCCGCGATCATGTGAGCCGCAGACGGCCCAGAAGTTTATCATGCCAGCGTCCATGGTCGAGTAGCTTCGGCGCCTGCTGAAGCACGATGCGAATATTCTACGACTCCTGCTTGCGCAATTGTGCCCTCATGACGATGATGCTGCTCCTACGAAGAAGCAAGAGGATTATCCAAGTGGCGTCGGCAGTTGCGCCACTCTCGCTTAGGCTGCACAGCCGCAGACACGTGCGCTTCGGCGGTGACGATGCCACCTCGAGCAGATCAATTCGGCGCTGCCGATGTCACCTCTACAGTACCGACACAATCGGGCCTCATGACGATGTTACCCACAGTGACCTGGCAATAAACTGGCAATAACTCGCTCCGGCCGATACCACCTGTCTCTATGGGAAACGGTCGCTTCTGCGCAAAAGAAAGGCTGCATCGGAGAGGTCGTTTCCGTTTCAATCCGCATCGCCTGCCAGGCCTACACCTGCGCGATTGGAGAAAAGTATCCTCAAGTGAAGCAAAGCGAGAGCATTACGCAATGCTCGGCAACCCCAGCGCCGTCCAGTCGTCCCATCTCTACGGACTTATCGATAGCATCCCACATTGCCATGTTTCAGACCTGCAAAGGCGACCCCGAGACCTGCAGCTGGGATTTGTCGCTGCGCCTCATAGCAAACG